GGTATCGTTTGCACATCAGCCAGGTAAGCAGGCAGCAGCACTAGGATAGCCACAGCGCCAGAAGCAGCAATGCCCAGCAATGGCTCCGTTGGATAAACCGCCTTCAGACTGGGTAGCAGATGCTGCAGGCTTTCTAGGAGTTGGCGAGGGAGGAGGTGGGGAGGCTGTGGGCATTGGCGATGGGGAGGTGGTTAGCAATGTTGATGGGAGGTACATTTAAGGAGTAGGAGATGGATATAGTGAACGGAAAAGCTATCAAACGTGGGATTAATGGTGGGCAAGGGATGTGGGAGTGAAAGCAAACGAAGACTCTGAAGGTTGAAAAAAAAAAAAAAAAAAAAAAACAGCAAAAGCCACGAGGTATTCTTCACATAAATTGTGGATGCGTGGCACTGCAGAAGTTTGTTCTGTAGTTGGCAGTGCAGTGTTCATGCACTCAGCACGAATGAGAGCGTTGTCAGAAAGGCAATATTACTTGCAGCGACCCGCATAAAGAGATTGCATTTCACCTGGTTGTGGCTTGTCACAGGTGGTGCAGAAGGAGCTACACTGCTGGCAGAAAGCACTCGAAATGCTATGTTTGACCACACAGCTGCTGTAGTCCAGGAGGACAAGGAAGGAAGGAAGTGGTGGGGAGTGGGGGGGCAAGGAAGGAAGCAATGAGAGAAGGAACGCAATTGGGGCGGGGAGAGGTGAACACCACAGCGCCCTGCCATGATGCACTGGGACGAGATGGAGAGGGTGGTGTGTGGGTCAGGGGTAGGGGGAGAAAAGGAGGAAAGTGAAGGAGCAAGGGAACGAATCTCTTGGCTTCTGGTTTGTAGCCTGTGCCTCATGCAAGCAAAGGCAGGTGGGCACATGCAGGGGCAGGGCAGGCAGTGACCTGCCAAGTTGTTTAGCAACAACCATTGCAGTGAGTGCCAGAGCCGGTGCAAGGGCATGGCGGGGGATAATGGGGTGATAAGATGATGATGTGATGGGGAAATGGTTTGATGGTGCGATGGAATGACGGAGAAATGAGGTAATGGGATGGTGGGGTGAAAGGATGATAGGGTAATGGGTTAACGGGATATGGTATCATGTGGTGAATGGAATGCCAATGGCAGTGGTATTGATACAAGCTATAAAGCTGATTCGGTAGAGGCAGGTTCATACAAGGCGATGGGGACTCATGACGCATCCGCAGAGATTAGCGACCAGATCGACATGAGAAGGCTGGATGCGCACAACGCATTTGCTCTCGGTCCAGAAGACGTGAACCAGCTCTCCGCCTTAATGACTCCGTTCCCCCCGCGTTTCCAGCCCTTCATCACCTCACCACACTGGCCTCCCGATCCCACTGCCTCATCAAGGGCGGGCTACTCCTGGCATGGGCCGGCCGACGGAGGAGAGAAAAGGGGGAAGACCGAGGTGGGTGGGTAGGAGAGAGGGGTCAGAGAGTGGCTTTAAAGGAGGGACGTCAGAAAGAGACGGCGTGCGCTGCCCATTGGATTCCACTGCCTCCTCGGGGCTGTTGTTTCTTGTGGGAGAAAGGGGTAGGGGAGAGGCGTGGCAGAGCACAAAGGAGAAACTTCTCACGCCTTGCATCGTTCACCTCACCTTTTTGACCAAGCCATGGCCTCTTACGACCCCCGTATCCCTTTCAGCCCCCAACTGTCAATCCTTTTGATATCCTGCCTATACCCTCGCCCCCTGCCCTCACTCATCTGTATGCGTGGCCATGCGTGTCCTGTGCCACCAGCGTTTATCCCCCCCCCCCTCTCCTAATCCCCTCTTCCCCTCCTCCCCGCCCCCCAATCGCTTACCCGTATCATCCCTGCAATTCCCATGGCTCACCCGTAGCCGCGGCCACTCGCGCCAGCTTGCGCAGCCCCATGCGGTCGGCACAAGCTGGCATGCGGTCGCATGGTGCTGCGCATGCAGTCCTCACACACCTGGCGGGCGGAGGAGAGGTGCGCAAGGGATAGGGGAGAGGGACAAAGGGGGATGCTTCGAGATGTCTCAAACAACTGCACCAGGCGACCTGCTGGCAGACAGTTGGTGCAAACCTGGCGGGCGGAGGACAGGGACACGGGGGGGGGGAGGAACGGGTGTGGAGGGGAGAGAAAGGGCTAGGGTGTTTCAAGATATTGCAGCACATGCTTCTGCAGAACCATTCAGTGTGCTACCATGTGGTGCTCACACCTGCAGCACACCAAGCAGATGGGGTCATAGATGGGAAGGGCGGGGATGTTTTGAGACGTTTCAGCACCGGCTTGTACCATGCAGTACGCAGGCACGCATCCTCGCACACCTGCAGGGGGAACAAGGGGAGGTGGGGGAAATGGGGAGGGGGGGGAGGGGGAAGAGGGGAAATGGCGGGGGTGGAGTGGAGGGGAACAGTGGGGGAAGCTAAGAGTGGGGAATGTCGCACAGTGTGTGCACACCTGATCGATCAATTCCGCACGGTTGGCGGGGGGTGAAGAAGTGGGAGGGGTCGGGACTTGAGAGCAAAACACGGCTGTTTGCAATCACCATTGTCACTCATTTCTCCTCGCTGCGCAACCCTCACACTTTCATCACCAATCAACCCCCTTCCCCCTCCCCCCCTCCCTCCCCTTCACCACTTCTCCCCTCTTCCCTGGTGCAACGCACCTGCTTTTGTTCTCCATGCCTTCCACCACCTCCCCCCCTCTCTCCCATCTCCCAGCCCTCTCCCAGCCCTCTCCCAGCCTCCCCCACATCTCCCCTCCCCTGCGCCAGACTCTACCCCCCCCCCCCCCCACCCGGAATTTTTCTATCGCGCACAACAAGCACAGAATGAGGATGAGGAGAAAAAGCTGGGAGGAATGGGGGCGAAGGCACGGGGAGAGGAGGAGGGAGGGCGAAGACAACCCTCCAACCAGCATCGAAGGAGGTGACAATGGCACCAGAATTCTCAAAAGCGGCAAGTTGACGGTTCTCTTGATTGTCTTTTGACGCCATTCGATTCGCTGCGACGCATGCGACGAATTTCTCGCAATAAACGCGGCGCTACAAAATTTTCTCGGTGCTCAAGGAGCAGCTGGCGACGCACGCCGACCCTCGCTCGACTTGCCATCGCCCATAGGAGGCATGAGGGATGATGGTGAGCAATGTTAGTGCAATTGCTGAGTCAGCTCATACGGTGTCCAAATAATGCAACAGTGGCGCTCCTTTTGACACTATTCTTCGAGATTATGACAGAGCAGTTACGGAAGGGAAGAAGCAATCATGGCCATCAGAGGACCATTAGGTCAAGTAACTCCCTCATGCCCGTCTGGCAGCATGTGGATGAGAGCATGTGCGCAGACAGTGGGATGAAAGCTAACAGACTTACTTAACCGTAACAGACTGATATTAACAGACATAGGAAAACCGAAAGATTCACTTGTGCTCGTCTGACAGCATGAGTCGGTCAGTTGCTCCTTGGGGAGTTTCACCGATCGGGACACGTCTCGCTGCCTGGTAAAGGTCAGGGAGAGATCTGACAGCTTGACAGCAGCATGGGTGTAGACCATCGCTGTTGCTCAAATCACATGTGGACACGTGTGCAGATGATGGGATGAGGGGGGAGAGAAAGAGGAGGGAAGGAGGAGGGGGGAGGTGAAAGGAATGAGGTTTGGAAAAAACACGATAGGAAAAGTGAGGTTTGGAGAGGAGTGCAACACGCGAGATTGTTGAGACACCCTCCACTTATACAACCATTAGCAGCATTCGAAACTAGTAGCTGCATCAGAAACCAGTAGGCACGCCAGATCTCTGTCGCACATCCCACAAATCATGCTACCAGGCTTTTGGCCTAAGTGGCGAAATACGCTTTTGCCTTTAAGCGTATAGCGTTTATCCGCTTGCGTATACACGCAAAACGCAATACGCTAGCAAATACGCAATACGCTCGGGAGTTTTTTTCTGGGCAGCCCAAGGTGAAAATTTTCTAGGCAAGCAACCCTAGCAGCAACGGCATGTGGCAGGCGAGGGCCACTGCCAAGTTCACTGCAGTGGATGGGAGATGGGGGAATAAGGGGAGATATGCATGGGGTGTTAGGTATGGGGTGGGAGACTTTTTCGAGCATGTGGCGGGCGAGGGCCACTGCGAGGGAAGGGGAAAGGGGAGAGGGAAAGGGGAGAGGGAGGGCGGAGGGGTGGGGGATTTGAAAGAGAAGGATATATGTCAAAGGGTTAGGGAGGGAGAGAGACGTAGATGGAAGTCAGAGGCGAGGAAGGGGGCGGGCGGCACAGTCCAGCCTGGGCAGCTTGGGCGAGCAGCACCGCGAGGTTCACTGCAGGAAAAGGCGGGGGACTGGCGAGATGGAGAAATGGAGGGGGGAAGGGGGGATAGGAGGGGCTCGAGGATGGGGGAATGGGGGAATGGATGGGGCATGGGGATCGGGTGGGAGAGGGGTGAAAAAGAGAATGAGGTATTGGGGAGGGAGGGATAGGGGGGATGTGGGAATGTTGAGAAAGGCGGTAGGTAGAGGGGGATGCGGGCACGGGGGAAAAGGGAGTTGCGGTGCATGGGAGGAGGCAAAGGTAAGTAGAGCGTATGAGAACGCCATGGTGGGACATGGAGTGAAGGGGAAGGGGATGAAAAGGGGGGTGGGATCCGACGGGCGAAGAAGAAGCGGCGTGGGGCACACTGACAGTGAGCGGTGAATGGAAGGAGAGAGAAGCGAGCAGCTGCAGTGGATGGGGAGAAGGGGAAAAAAAAAGCATGGGGAGATGGGGGGATGGGGGGAGAGCATGTAAGAGCAGCGCATGTAAGGAAGTCAGAGGACATGCAGTGAAGGGACGGGAGATACAAAGGGGAGGGGGAGGGGACGGGGACGGGCATGGTGAGAGAGATCAGGAGGGGTATGAGGGGAACGAGAGTAAGTGGCTTCGGGCACGGCAGAGTGAGGCAATCAGGCGATGAGGCGCACCGGCAGTGGTGGACTTGCCGACGCCGCCTTTCGCAGATGCCACAGCCACAATGTGCTTCACCCCCGCCAGCAACCGGCTGGCGTCGCCGCCGCCTCCGCTGCCACTGCCGCTGCAGAGCCCACATGGCAGCAGCAGCAGGGGTTTCAGTAACTCGCCGTATCTTGTGAGAGGGTGACATGAAGCATGAGGGGGGAGGGAGTGGGAGAAATGAGGGGGTGGACTGGGGGGGAAGAGGGGGGAAAGGGGGAGAAAAGAAAGGGGTTGGAGGAGAGAAGGGAGTTTAGATGTCTTGGAATGGGTACATAATGAATGGAAATTTAGAAAAACAAGCTTAGGAGGATAAGGAGCAAACATTGGTGAGGATCAGGGGGAACATTCACGGGAGAAGAGCAGGGAGGGAGAAGACAATTCTCCCACCAGCGCTGAAGGCGACGATGAGGAAGGCAATGCTGATCGCCATTTGACCCACCATCGCCAACTGCTCGTGCAGTCCGACGCCTGCGGTGCTCGCGACGTTGCCTCGACGCAGCTGCGACGCGGCGCGACGGCTTCCTCGGCACTCGCGGAGCAGCAAGGACGCCCGTGACGCTCACTCGAGTCGCCGCCGACATTACGATGTCGGCCAGCAGTTTTACCGTAGCGCTACTGAGTCAACGCATACGGAATCCAGTTGACTGGGCACAATTGACGTTCCTTTTGAGGCGATCCTTTGAGAATACGTCACAGAGCAGTTACGGAAGAAGGGCCGAGAAAGGAATCATGACCACATTTCGCTGGGGGGAAGCAAGAAATTGGTAGGAAGCTGCGGGAGGGGAGGGCGAAAAAAAATCGTATCCGCCGTTTTCTGATGCGCCCGTGCCAATTGCGCATTTGTGCGTCTTGCGAACGGCGGCGGCGTAGTCGCACAGAGAGGGATTGTGCATGGTAGAGGAGAAGAAGGATAGGGCGTGGGAGGAGAGGTGTGAGGGTGATGCCCTCTTCTTAATCTGGATGATAGACCACGTACTGAGATCCCATCATAGCTAGTAGGGAATAGATGACGAGCATCACACACGACTGCCATCTTCCCGTGGTATTTTCTAGTCAACGCCAATTCGCACGATGAAACTCTGGACCGCCCACTACCTTCTCACTAGATCACTCGACAGTTCTTGATCGCGATAGGGTAGGCCACGGGTAGTTCGCTAGGTCGCCAGGTTGCCAGGTCGCGAGGGCGCTAGTCGCTATCATCCGAAAAAATGTCGTTCGGAAATTCTGCTCTGGTGTTACTTGAAAGGCGAAATCGCGCGCATCGGCGAAAATCGTGTTTGTCTCAATTGAGTCGACCTAAATTGCTCCCCGCTCGCCACGTGGGCGTTTGTCTAAATTGAATGGACCTCCCTTCCCCCCGCCCCCCCAGCCCCCTTTTCCCGCCCTTTCCCCACCGTCATTCGGGCAGCCGCATGCTCTCGCGTAAAAGTCACAAAGAGTCACCAATTCCAAATTCCAGCCAGGCTACACACTTTCGCCACGGGTGGTTGTTCTTATTGGTCGGAAAATTGGTGATTTGTTCAGCGCGTCAGAGTAACATGCACTGGCTCCGTTTGGACGCGCCAACGTTATAGGTAGTGTAGCAACGACATGGAGTGGTACCTCGATACCGATCATGTACGGTAATGTACAACCAGGCGACCAATCGACGGTCATGCACGAGCATGAGTTCAGACCAATTGCCGAGGGCGGTTTTGACAGCGTACATGAACCTAATCCTGCATTCATGAACTTATCCTCGCCGCCAACCTCTGAACATGAGCTTTCATGCCACATCACGACCGTCACAGCTCCCCTCTCTCGCACCCTTTCCCTCTGTGATAGCTATCAACAATCATCCAACCTTTGTGCTCTTTGTGGTTTGTTTCTTGTACTCGCGATACCTTAGTCATTGCAAATTGCCAGCTATTCGGTGGCGTATAGCGTTCTGGGCGTGTGATGGATCTTCGTAGCAAAACGGTCCTCGGTAAACGGCAGGATGAGTCAGGCCACGAGGAATCCGACGGCGGTGAATCTCACGATTCGGACGTCAAGCTCGTCACCGACGAGCACGGGAAAGGCAGGAGAAAGGGGAAGCAACGGAAAGGACCGGAGAAGCAGCATAGCACCGGTGGATTCAACTTCAAAACCAACATAGTGAACAAGGAGGTGTTGCCGCCCGTCGATGACATCATCTCCGCCTTCACCAAAGGTCGTGGGCCGCCGGCTCAAACTAAAGGCTGTCGCGGCCCTACCATCAAGAGTCAGCACTTCCCAACGAAGCCGTTGTACAACGCCATCGGCCAAAACGCCTTCGTGAGCCCTATTGACGCGATGCGCATTCAGGATGGATACGAGCTCAGCACGGCATTAATCGACTTCCACAACATGTGAGTGCGTTGTTCCCGCGGGTAAGCACACTCACACTATATTGCCGGCGCCTAACACCGGCTCTCCGTGTCTGTGTATTCACCCCGCGCAGTTTGCTGAGCATCAGGCATTCCAAAACACCAAGCGGGGAGACATGGGTTGCGCTTGACACTGGAGCGTATCTGATGGCGGCGAATCAACAGGTTCTCTTCACTGGATTCGAGGGCGGCACCATCCTTGACTACAACTACGTCCTTGTAGTTGTAACTACACTGTAAGACATGCATGCTCAATCTCGATGTACGCGCGTACCGCGGCATCGCCATGCTGTGTACTTACATTTAAGTTGGTATTGTGGCAGTGAGCCAAGGCATTTCAGCCTTGTTGTTGTCAAGGAGCCTGGCAGGGCAAGAACAACTGCTATAAAATCGGGGAACACGGAGCTTCCGGTGGCCTACCTGCTCGACTCGACTGGTGATCATCGGAACATGGCTCCGTCGGTGTTCGCCGAGATCCAAACGTAAGTTGCACGGGCATGCATCGCCTCCTAAGTTTCGTCGTGCTAATGATCGCATGGTTGCTTCGCCGCTTGTAATGCACTTATCCATGCTTCGTTGCTGTGTCCAGGCTGCTCGGTCTGGCGCTACAAGCCGAGGAGCCCGGCCTCTCTGCCACCGCAATCAAGCAGCGGCTTGATCCGATGCCTTGCGTCCCGCTTGGGGTAAGCACTCAAATCTTTCGCGCAGGGTTTTTTTATCAGATCTCATCCATGGAACGTTCATCAATATTGCTCACCTTGTTTGTTTTCGCGTGTGCAGTACTATCAGTGCCCGATGCAGGCCAACCAAGTAGACTGTGGTGTCTACGTTTGCATCTACGCATCTGAGCTGGTTGCCCGTGGCTTCGCTAATCTGGACGATGGGCTGCCAGCTTTGCCCTATGGTGGTGGCCTTTTCCGGAGGGGGATGCGTGCGGACATAGTCGAACATGCACTCAAGCGGTTGATCCCAACCCTGGAGAGGTCTGGAGTTATGGTGCCCCACCAAGATCCGCCGCTCAGCAAGCGCGTGAACAAGCCAGTGTCTCCAGAGCTGGCCGAAATCGACGCGAAGCTGCGTGATGCTGTCGGCGACATCCACAACATCTCCTGCCGCGTGGGGTACTGTGAGAAAGACATCACCAAGCTCGAGCTCCTGGTGGAGAGTCTCACCAACGACTTGTCCACCACCCGCGACGAGCTCACCGCGTTGTCAGCGCAAGTAGCAGCCTTACCAGCACCGCCGCAGCAGGGGCGTATTGGAGGAGCTGGCGGACCCAGCGCGAGAACCGACGACCCTGCCACCCAGCAAATTCTGGCGCCGACTGCGCAACTCGAGCAGCAAGGGGATTCTCATCAGATTCAAACGGCCCACGGCGTTATCAACGGGCTGCTGCCCGGTACGCCCGGCGATGCATTGACCTCGTATCGTTGCGTTGCGCGCGGTGGAGCTCTGCCTGCCCCTTCGGAGGATCACTCTGGGTGTATGGGCCCGCCGCCACCGCCATCACACTCTGTCGGGGGAGTGGTTGGATCGGGGGAGTACGCGGGTGTTAGGCTCCTCCCAGACGGAACTTGGCAAGCGAAGATTGTCCCTGAGCCCGGGTCATCAAGGACGCTGATTCTTGGCCACTTCCAAGACCAGCAGCAAGCGGCCCGCGCGTTCGCTGCAGCTGCAGCCGTGCTCAGGCGGAGCAAGCCTCCCCGGGGTCGTGTGTGGCAGCTCACCGGCGAGGAGATGGACCTGCTGGATGGCTGCACGGCCGAGATCGTGCGGCAGCTCACTACCGCACGCGTCTGGGGGCGGTGGGAAAGGTGGCGCGTCGAGCTTGCTTCCCTCGGTGGTGCCAACCCCACCCCTGCATCCCCCGCTGTTGTGGCAGCAGCGCCAACCGCACCCGCAGCTGCTCCAACCACACTTGCCCCGGCGAATGCAGGCATCGCCCCTCCTGCCGTGGCTCTTGCACCTGCACAGCCCACCCCTCCCGGTGGAGCTACTGCTGTGCACGTCGGAACAACTCCTGTGCCTGCGGGGGTTACTCCCGCCCCACCAGCCCATTCTACGCAAGCCACATTGACCAACCCCCCTGTGCAGGCTGATGTTGTGGCGTTTGCCTCGCTGTCGTTGCCAGAGAGCGACGAGGGGGATGTGGGCAACAACGCGACAACCCACCCGACAGGTATTGATTTGTTGCAGCGTGGTGTTTAGACAACGCACTAGCCAGGGTTTAGACATTAACCTGCTGTTCTCGTCTTCAGTGTGTCAGAGCCCAACAGCTTACGAAAGTGTGACGATGGAGCTGATTTTCATGAACACCATGCTGTTTTTCGCACTGTGGCCTTTGTTGCTCTTTGCGGGGTTTGTAGGACTGTAGCATGAACAATATGTTGAACTGCTGGCTGTCAGCCATGTTTTTGAGTTCACTAAAGACCCCAACCTGGCGGCAACAAACCCAAACGATAGCGCACCAGCTCACCAGCCGGCCCAATGTGTGGTGATATGGGAGTAAGGCCTACGATCATGACACCACAGACCATCATGATCTCGTCGATAGTCATGCGCGTTTTTTCATGACGCGTGGTGGTTTCGCACGCCACACCGCCACGAAATATCACCCCCCGACTGCGCGACCCTATAAGCTATAACGATCCGGCACCTGTGACAAATCGTGGCATTTTATAACAGCGTCTGCAACACTTTTTATTTCGGTTGTATAAATGCAGAGGAAACAACTCAAACAGTGACAACGGCCATGAACACGGGTTTAGGGGCCATAAACGGTGTCTAAGGTCTCACAGAAATGATTATGCCGTGTTCCACAACCCCGGCTTTAGACACTTGCATAACGAGAGTAGCATCGTACAACCGATTTTTCATAAATCACTATCTTTTCACTTGTTGTCCCGAGTACGCATAGTACCCCGCCTCGGGGTGTGTGCTGTGCGACTGGTAGCCTTAATCAGAGTTTTCATTCTGCCCTCGAGCTCAAGGGCTCATCACATCATGGTCAGTGGTGTGCTTTAGACTAGCATCATCTCCTGGTCACTGGTACGCCAGTGTCTACCTTAGTGAGGTGATCCTGAGTAAATTATGAACAATGACAATAGTATCAAATCTCATGCTCCATGTAACGTACTGCTGTTTTGTTACCAGGGTTATGGGGTGCGTGCTGAAAGTATTGTGCGTGCTGAAAGTATTGTGCTGAAAGTTTTTAACATGTAGTCAATGTTAGGAGTTTTAATTATACCGGTGGCATTGTGCACGCCATATTTTATTAGAGGATGAGGGTGTATAATTTTCCACAACACCGTCACAACAAATACGCACATCGAATGACACGCAATGAAGGGGCCATTCTCGGTTCATGTTCCTTCGCGCAAATTAGGGTCAACCCCGACGACGAATCATGTTGCAGGCATCACGTCCATGAGAGTTCATGTTCGTCCGTGCAGGTAGTCAACTTCCGAGCCACTAGCACGAGTTTGTTCATGATTGAAAGTGTAGGCATTCACGCGCGACTTCCAGGACCCGCGCTTGTAGGCTGTTCGAGTCTTGACAGGTCGAGATGCGTTCATGCACTATGGAGAGTTCATGATTCGTCATGACTAGCTGCGCGACATCGCCCCGCGATTTCCAGGCCCTCGAA